TTTTTTTTTTTTTTTTTTTTTTTTTTTAAATAATGGCACTACGAATTCTAGGACAATTAATTTTATTATTTTAAAGAAAAAAAAATCAGTGAGGAGGTGGCAGCATTTGAATTGTTTGGTTAAATACACAGTGTTGTTTTAACCTTTTTAGGGTGCTCAGAGAGAGATTTTCCTTTGCACATCAATGTTATTTTTTTTCCAAAACAAAGTACATCTCTACTCAACTTAATATTGATGTGCGTGTGTCCGGGGGGCGAGAGGGAGAAGGAGGGACGAAGGGATTTGATGATTGACTGTATTTTCAATTATATCTTGTAGAGTTAAATATGGGTTCTGGTTGACTGTTATACCTACAGTTCAATACTACTCTGGGTCAGTAATCAATCTGAAAAGCAAACATTAGTATTCTCCCTAAAATACTGCAAGACACCTGTTTGAAAGCAAAATTAGCCTTGCCAAGCTTATCTCTGCAGATGCCACAATTCTTCCTGTCTAGTTGCTATGGAGAACATAATTAGTGTTGGCATTAACTAAGCTAGCTTGATAAAAGCCAAATCTCAATGGAGGATCAAAACATTATTTAAGGAAATAACTATTAGTATTCCACATACTGGCTTGTCTGAGCCTGCAGAAAGTATGTAGCTCACATCCTCTGAAATTGTCATGCTTCCTAAAAACAATTTTTAATCAAAATTCTTTTCTTGCCAAACAGCCAAAATTCTACTGAAGGTCAGCTATTAAGAGTCCAAAATAGCATTTCAAGTTCCTTTCTGCTTGGAGACGCCAGGTAACTGAAGCAATCAACAACTGGACATATGCTTATGGGCTTCTTATCTAGGCCAGATACTTTATTAATTTTAATGTATAGCATCAGTATTTCTTTCCAGGGTTTATATCCATTGGCCAAAGTTGTACTATTTTACTTTTCTAAATACAGCAATGACAATCTACAGTCCTATTGAAAACATTGATTCATTTATGACATTTCAACAAATAGAGCAGCGTGGCAGTAGGTTGGAAGACTTGAGCCATACAAAAAATAGCCATTACACAATAATTTCATTATTAAATTAGGTATCTCTGACTTTAAATTACTTATCAGACTGTGGTTGAGAGGAGTCAGTAATTACAAAATTTAGAAGTCTATTGGATGCTTTCCAGAAATAGAAAGCTCATTCAGAGTTCTCAATATTAAATAATTTGGACTATTAAAACCATTTAAAAAATAGATTGATTCTATACTATGAACTTTCACTTGGAAGGTAAGAATATATTAAGTGCCATACTGGGTCAGACCACTGGTCCACCTAGCCCCGAATCCTGTCACTGACAGTGGCAGTAGTGACTTCAAGTACCTGACCAACTATGCTTATAGTAAAGATAGATAGATAACCCTTTTATACTGAAACTAAAAGTTTCAGTTTGTTAGGTCATAATCAATTTTTAAACATGAGCACCCACTGTGTTACAAGGATTCTTAAACAGGATAAGACAATACGTGTAGTGTCTGAGAACCTTACAAAGATCCTGCTCCAATAACTTGCAAAGAATGCATTTACTCAATAAATTAAAATATTTTCTCTATTTTCTTGTATATATATTCAAATAGGGTTTGCACAACATAAAAAAAAGTTAATCCGTACCTACTACAGGTAACTTATGCATTTAGCTTTTCATATGAAAGCCTGTAAGAAATGACAACCTGCAGATTTATATGATTCACTTTAAAAGTATTTTTTTAAAAATAATTTTGTCCAGCATTTAACAAAAATGAGAAAGCTTAAGGAAAAAGAAAAAAAAAGTCACCAGAACAGCAGTCACTTCTTGGATTATGTCAAGTAATTTCACCAGTTGAGTTCTCTAAGGCAGGCTGGTTGTTCAAATGGATTAGAATTTTCTACGGCCATAGGTGATATGCATGTAATCAAGTTGTTCATTTATAAAACAGATGAAAACAAGCACGTATGAAGAAAAAATGGTTTTGAGTTTCAAAAGAACTGAAACATTTACACTACAAATTCAGAATAGGCACTGAAAAATGATTCCTTAGGTGTTTTCCAGAGATTGTCTCTTCGCTGATCATCATTCCATCTTTAAACCAAGAAAAAGAAATGGAAACATAAACAAGTCAATTTTTATGCATTTTTTGATCCTACAAACCTTTTATATATTTTTCCAGGCAGGGTATTAAACACATTTAATGGACACTGGCTACACACAGAGGCATAACTGGTAAGGCTTGCACCCTGGGCAGCTGCTGCGGGAGCAGGCATCACTGCAGGTGGGGCGGGGGGGAAGCCAGTGCTGACCCCTTGGCTGTTGCCTGTGCCTACACTTTCCCTCAAAGGAGCTGTAACTCTGAAGCACCATGGGACTGCCAAGGCCAATGGAGGAATTGGGGAAACACACTGCCAGGTGCCTTACCAGCTGCAAGAAACTTCCACTCCCACTCCAGGGAGCCAAACCCTTGAGCCAGCCCCAGGCTTCTGCCCCCAAAGTGCTACAAAATCTCACTGTCAGTGGCAAGGGACAAATGTAGATTTGGGAGCACAACAGGTCAGCACCAGGGACACATGCCCTGGCTGCTTAACCCTAAGTTACACTACTATTTACACAAGATGTTGAAAAACACATTGCAAATTTATTGAGATATTTTTCTATCAAGGCCAAGCAGGCATTGTAACAACACAGAAACAAATTTTTCCAGATGTTTCACTTCTGGTTTTATTATCCTTGCAAAATTCTACAACATTTTCTTGTCAGGAAAGCTAGTTTACCTTCTTTCAAAGAATAATAAACTTTATTCATTAGAAGTTTGGTAAAACGGTGAAAAATTACAATTTACTTCACGGGTAAATTTCAATGACATTTTAAAAAGTTTTAGATCATGTAAATGAGAGGTCTGGGACAGAACAATTAAAGCTACTGAAGAAAACATCAACAAGTGTAGTTTATTTTTTTAAATTGTAACAGGGGCCTGTTTGGGGCTGATCTCTGCATGGCCCACCCACCTGTTGTTGGGCTAACCACCCACCTTCTCGCCCACCACGCCTTGATCTTAATAATTAATTAACAGATGTAAATTAAGTGGGAGGCTGCCCATTTTCTGTCCCGCTCCTAGGGGGCGCTATCTGTGGCTCCATTCCTCCCCTACACTGCAGCCCAAGCCCCACAGATGACATCATGATGTTCTCTTATGTGCCAGTCCTACACGATGGGCCCCAGAATCCTACTGTAGGGCCCCACGTGAGTTCCTCCCTTCAGGCAGACTCTGCCACCGTCATACCGGGCCACATATCTCCCTGCCATTGGTTCCCCTTTGGGGGTGGTCCCCTCACTGGGACCTTCGGCTCACACTAGCCCCGGCCCACCCCCAGGCCAGTCAGGACCCCAGACCCCTGGCTCTTGGGCATCCCTCTCGGTGGGCCTCCTTGCCCTTCTGACTCTCCTGGTCCTGGCTCCTGCCTGGGCCAGTCAGGGGAAGCTCTGACCGTTATTCTTTCCCTGGGGTCCCCCTCTCAGGGTCCTCCTTCACAGATGTGGGGAGCTGGAGTACCTCACACCATGACTGGTGCCTCAGGGTCTCACAAGGGACCCTCACTCCCCCCTGGGCAGCAGGTTGTGGTGCTACTCTGGATGTTACCTTTGACCCAAACTCTGCCTCCCCACATTGGAGGACTTACTGGGGTCAGGACTCAGCTCTCTTACTCTCTGGCTGAGACCCCGTACTTCCCTCACTGGGGCTTCTCACCGCAGCCCCCCCTCACACTGGGGCTTCTCACTGTGGCCCCCTCTGTTCTCACGCTGCCCCCTCACAACTGGGGCTTCCAACACTGGCCCCCTCACAACTGGAGGCTTCTCACTGCTCACAATGCCCCCTCTACTCAGGGTCTTGGGGCTTCCCCCCTTGGGGGGGCTCAGGTGACTGTAGCCGTGCCTGGCCCCAACTCTCCAGCTAGGGGTCTTGAACCCCCGCAGGGCTCAGGCCTCCAACTCTCCACTCTCCTCCTCGGGGCTTGCACCCCTGCAACTACCTCCGATGAAATGCAACCCACCCGAAGGTGAGGGCTAGGGGGTCAAGGTGCCCCGACCTGCCTTTCACCGGGGTGATCACTGGCCTGGCATTTCCCGGGGGCTCCCGTGCCACTGGGAGCCCCACCAGGCCACCCACTCCCGGCAGGGTGCAGTTTTAGGTCATGCCCAGGACCAGGAGCCTCCTACCATCCCCGACAGCTCCTCCCTTACCTCCGGGTGAAACTCAGCAGCCCTCTGGCCAGGCGGTGTTGTTACCTGACTTCCAGCAGCCAAACTGCCTTGTTTATATGGGCAGCCCTGAACCTAAAATGGCTGCCCGCATTAGGCACCTGGAGACTGCCAGCTCCAGTGCCTTAAAGTGGCAGGGGCACACAGTGCCCTGCCACAAAAATCATATGAAATATTTAGAACAAAGCTGAAATGTGCATGGCTACATACAGTTAAAGAGTACAGTTTAAATCTCTTAGTTTGTGATATAAAACTCAGTATTAAAATACTGTTCATAATTACCAGTTCAGAAAAAGGAACTCCATATTATGCTTAGCTTATTATTAAATATTAAAAAAAATTACTTATGGCAGAATAACCTTAAACCACTTATGGAAAGCACCAACAAACTCAAAGGGGAAAAAAATTGCCCTGGTATTGTCATTGTATAGAGTCTGAACTTTCATTATGCCGTTTGAAGTTCACTTGTTGAACATACCTCTTGTTTATGAGCAACAGTTATCTCCATCCTCTTGAGAAACACTATGCATAGGGATGAGACTTTCACATTGTTCACTTTCCTCTGGTGTTCTTAAAGAGATAAAATATTCATGTTATAATTGAAAAAAAATTAAATGGCCTTAAGTTTTAAAATAGACATGAATGGATGGTAACATCTTGAGTTGCATTTATCTCAGTAACTCAACGTTCTGTAATTAAGAGGTCTGTCATAATTAAAAGCAATAACATAACCATTTTGTATCACAGCAGGGGTTTCAAATATACGGTCCATGGGGCTCCTGCAGGGGCTGTGACTGGCAGCAGAGCCAGCAAGTGGCAGTGGTAGTACACACGTGCTGAACTGAACCTACAAAGTGGATGAGGGATCTGAATAGATTAACGCCACCACCACTCACCCTACCACTGAAATCTTGGGTATGGAGCCCTGTCATGGACTCCTTTTGGCAGCAGTGGGGTTAGTAACAATGGTATTAACACACATGGCTCCCTGAGTGGGCACAGTGGCTTAGGCTGCTGGGGGCATTAATGCTGCCACTGCTAGCCCTGCTGCCAGAGGTGGGTCTGGATCTGGCCAGAGGGCCAAATGAGCTTGATACCTGGTATTGAGGAAATATCACAGGAACAATAAATTAAGAAAAAGTAAAATTGTAAGTGGTTGTCACTGCAGAAAAAAAATTCAATATGTTTTTTTTTTAAATGTATTCTTCTTTCATTGGATGGCATTGCATTCCACAGGTTAGTGAGTGGAAATACGGTAAATGTCCATGTAAATTCTTTAATATTTTCCTTGAAATGACCTGAAAGAAGGAAAGATACTGAAAAAAGAAACAGGAAACAACACTATGATTTATGAAAGAGAAAGAAGACAAGAAAATTACCTCTGAATTCGATGCTTTCGACAGATGAAGGCAAAAATCCTTCTAATTCCCACCATCACTGGATCCCAGTTGTTATAATGGCATAACAGAGTTGCAATGAAAAAAGAAAAAAATACAGGGATTGCCCCTGCAAAAAATAACCAGGAAAACTGCGCCTGGATTTTAAGCATGGAAATTATTAAATCAATATATCAAAACAGAATATTTTTCACATTTTTGACAAATGCAATAAAAGTAAACTAGTTAAGAAGAGTGCACATGTAGTATTGTTACAGGTATCACTTATATCAAAACTATAAAGACTTGCATTTAATAGAACCTTTTGAAGCTGCAATAACATCAGCCTGTGCATTTACTTTTCCTATGAGGTACAAAGGTCTTAAAGAGAGTCTATTTGGGAATTTTGAATTGGTTTTATTTCTTTTGGAGTTGGAAAAAATTTGCAATTTTTCTTAAAAGTTATCTGTAACAATTTCTATAGGCATTACAATTCCTATGGACAAGAATATAAACATAAAGGCTTAAATCCAAGTGTAGTGATTGCACTGTGATATAGATTAAAACAAAACCTGGCATTTTTCAAAATGAAGGCTGTATTTTATAAGTTTAACATAAGCAACAAATTGCCCCAGACTCCCTCAAACTACATACAACTAAACAATAAAAAGCTCTGAACTGGCAAAGACTTGTATACATGCTTAAAATTTATGCACCGTGAATACTCTCAATAAGTCAATGTGTCTAACGGGCATCAGTCTTTATAGTTTGGCCTTTATATCTGAACATAGTATGCTTTCAGACCTTTGCGATAAATAGCCTATGGGTCAAATCTAGCAATGTAGTCTCTGGTGGAAACCCCAAATGAACTTACTGTATCTAGCTTTCAAAATAAAACTTCAGCTGAAGTTACTTATCTAGTGAGCAGAGAAACACTGACCGCTTTGAAAAAAGCCTCTTGCTCTCTTTGCCTTTATAGCTGGCTTCTCCCAAAGCAATAGTCATTTCAAATGCTGACAAGAACAGTGAACATTTTATATAGGTATCAAGAAACATGTAAGGGTGCATCAGTGCACATTTACAGCACTTCCCATTGTTGCTTGGTCACAACTGCTTTAAGCCTATGCTAAGGAAAGACAGATTCCAAGCTCAGTTGCAAAACCTTTGAATACAGGCTGCATATAGACATTCAGGGAGGTTAAGGGGAGGTTAGATTTAAAAATAGCTACCTGATCTAAGGTAAGTTGGGATGAAGGGGCTAAGGGAGGGTTGAGGTGGACGAGGGTTGGAGTCCTAGAGGGTTTGGCATAACCAGGGAGGCTCACAGGGTTGACAAGAGGGAATGGGGGGGGTCTCTCTCCCCAACCCCCCTGGGACCAGGGGCTTCTTTTAGCCCTCCCATTTTCCCCCTCTCAGACAAACAACCCCCATGGTGAACCTCCCTCCACCATCCTCTCCATCCCTCCCCTGGGACTTACTTTTTTGCCTCCCAGCATTGGCAAATACTGATAAAATCAGCACCAGGAGCAGTTTGTGGGCTGGGGGATTTGGTGGGGTGGTGGGGAAGCTGGCTGCCCTGTGGAGGGACACTGTCTGTCTGGAAAGGGGCTAAAAAATAGTCCAGTGCCAGGAAGGAGGTAGGAAAAGCACAGCCCTGAGGCCGGTGTCAACGGCTGGGCTCTCCCAGCCCCAGGGCTGTGCTGGGAACTGTACAGAAGTCTGGAACACTTACATCAGTCTAAAAAAATGGCCAACTCAATCTAAGTCAGACTACCTCGGAGACAGGGTTAACTTAGATCAGGCTGGCCATTTTCCAACCAATCTAACCTTCCTGGAATTTCTGTATAGTTCACCCTTAGTTTGACTTACCTAGGGACCCAAGTGTAAGATCCGTACCTGGGTGAACTAAGTTAGAACATCTGGTGACCATTTTTAACATGATCTAACCTCCCTGAATGTCTGTATGCACCCACCGAGTAAAGTAAAAGTAGCCAAACCCTTATGACAATGCAACTCAGAATTAAAATTTAAAACAGAAAAAAGCGGAATTATGGTTCTCATCTTAACACTGCCACACTATACATTTAACATACACTTTAACATACGTTTAACATTCATTTAAAAGTTGAAAGCAATTTGATAGCAATTAACCCAGGCAAGGTTCTTAGTTGCCAAAAATGAGCAGGCAAGTTATACAACTGTAGGAATGTCCAAGTGAATTGGCACTAAGCTATACCTCCACTCCAACTACACTGCAATTTTAGACTCATTGTTCAGTTGAAATGTATTTCAGTGTGAATTTTTCAGTCTTGCTTTTACAAGTATTGCAGATCAGTGCAAACACCAACATTCCTATTTTAAAAAGATATTTTCAGAGACTTGTGGGCTTTAGTTTAAAAATACCACTCGCTGTTTTGGAGGAGAGTATCCATAGAAGGTATGGATGGTAATAACAAAGAAGTTCTAATTTTGTCAGCTATTTGACTGGTCATAGACCAAACAAAGCACATGAAAAAGGAAGAACAATTGAAAAATTATAAGAAATTGTTCTTCCTGGGTGGAAATAATAAGAATAGCAAGTGTCTATACTATTTTTCTTATTAACAAGTGTTTTTTACTTGCTGAAACTTTTTTTAAAGTATAAAACACTTGTTAACCATAAGCATGGCTCCCCCTTGTGGAAAGAAAAGTCTTCTACAGTGACTAAAACAGAAAGCCTAAGATTTTAACAACATAGTATAGACACTTCATTAGTGTACATCTAAATCTAAGATAATTGGAATGCTTGAGCTCCAATAGTGACTCTAGCAGAAGCTTTACCTTAAGAAAAATTGAAGGAATTAAGTGAACTAGAGCTAGAAAAAGGTAAGCAAATAATTACAGCAAATTTGATACTTTGTGTCTTAAGCATGCATGTTATGTTCTAATGTGTTGCCAATACTATAACAAATGAAAGCCTAAAATGTCATTTTAGTTATGCAATTGACATAATTACTACACAATTATAAGCTATAAAATACTGTTCTGACAGAAACTACTTTGAAAAAGCACTGAATACACTAAGTATTCAAACTATTAATCATGTCAGGGAGATTGTTATGTAGTCACCCTACCATTTTGAGGGCTCTGTGGGATAAGCTCCCCCAGAGAGCTTAGCAAAAGCAATAACTATACAAGCAAAGCTGAAGAGAAAAGTTTTCTCTACCAATTTAGCTGATTGAGACCTGGGCAGGTTTGAGGTATGAGGCAGAAAAGAGCTTGTAATGGCTTTGGGCCAAAGACATGCCTTGAAAACCAACCTTCCCAGAAGAGCCTGCCCAGATATGCATCCAATACAAGTAAATGTGTTTGAAGAAATCAAGGGATTTAAGTAAAGCAACAACAGGAGATATAATTCCTCCTTTTCTATGTCTAGAAGCCAATCCTTTTCTCTCTTAAGGAGATAACTTGAAATAGCAGTCTTTTCTTTTTTGCCTATGAGCAGGGGGACTGGCTCTGATGATCTCGCGAGGTCTCTTCCAGCCCCTAAATTCTAGGAATCTATGAATCTACCTCCCCTGGGGATTCCTGCCTTACCTGACTGTACCCAGAACAACGTTTCTGTGGAAGGCATCCACAGAAACCTAACCTAGCAAGGTTTGCACCCTGGGGAGTTTGTGGTGGGTGGAGAAGGGGGACAAAAAGAGAAGAGGTACTGCTGAGGGTTGGGGTTAGGAGAAGGGGGAGTCTTACCTGCTGCTACTGCAATAGCGTGGCCTACCTGTCCTGGCTGTTGCTGCTACAGCAACAGCACTGACTCTCCAGAGATAGGGGGAAAGGTTCCCTGACTACATCCCGTTGCCTCCCACGCCCAGTTAAGACTACTGAGCATCAGATCGTAAAGGAGGAAAGAATTTAGACACTTTCAGCACTCAGCCAGCCATAGCTGAAGCTACTAAAAAAAGAAGACAGGCAAAACTAAAGGTGATAGTAATCTGGATGGCAGATGACACCTATGGAGACAAAAAGAAAAAGCTAGGAAGTGTGCAATTGAAGTAGAAAAGCAAGGGAGAAGCAGGAGAGAGAAACCAACACTGCCACCACCTTCTGAGTAGCAGAGTGCACGGTTGGGGGGGAGGGCTGTCAGAACAAGCACAATCATAAAGGCAGACTAAAGGAAGCAGCTGCAGCAGTTTTCAGTAAGGGCGAGGAGACAGTAAGAGGTAAAAGAAAAGGATGTTACTGATTTTACTGTAGATGGGACAGGAAAGCCAAAAGAAGCAGGTAGAAGATCAGAAGGAAAGGAAAGGGAGAGATGGAAAAAGTTGCAGGGATGGAGGGGGAGGAGGGGGAAAACAGTACTAGATGATACACAGGAGCAGGATTAGAACAGATTTTGCTAGCAGGTAGTGACAGACTGCAAAGGGAGGTAAAGATTTATGAAAACAGGAAACAAGGTTAAAAGCAAATAGAAATGACAGGAGTCTAGGAAGTTAGATGAATTATTAAATGCTTTGGGCTTCTTAACTCAAACATCTAAGAGAGACTAAAGGTGCTCAGATAATAGTGAGGAGTGTCATAAAAATAATTACATACTGTTGCCTTTACATTAGGATACACAGCATCTCCCATCTAACAGTACTTTAAAGCTGTCTCTGCCATTTCATCTGTCTCGACAGTTGCATGCATTCTGCATTTGTACCCGCATAGAATAAGTGTGATTCATTTAAAGGACTGAGCTGCAAGTCTATTCCAGCTAATAGTTCAGAAAAGAAACTGTTAGCTTTTGGGAATGAATTATGAAAGAGGACCCTTGTCTAACAAACTATTTCCATAGCTAAATGTAAACAAACTACCTCAAAGTGGAACAAAAAAACCTTACAGTATCTAATATTTTAGAGGCAAGATATAAATACAATTCTCTGCATACAGTGGAGAGAAGTCCCCTGGATTTTTGGAGGAGACTGCTATGCCCACCAGAAGGTTCTTCCCCCACCAGAGAGGAGAGGTACAATTCAACAACTGTGTAAACGGACCGCCATGCTGAATAACACGTCTTGAATTTCTAAGCTGCTCCTGTAAACATTTTTGTGAATTCAAATGTATGAAAGGAGAATACTTTTGCTAATTCAGACCGTCTGCTCCCATCTAAAATAAGACTGCTACCAGGAATACTTCCATGTGAGGATTTATAATTTAATGGGTACTCTCCCCATTTTACAGATTGGTAAAATTTAGGTACTGGGAAGCCTTGTGACTTTTACAGATAATAGTTATGTGACACTATTTTTTATTAGTCACAAACCAATCTACCAATATATATGCTTGAAGTACTTCCTTTCACTCCCAATCTGTTTTTCTCTATTATTGCCTTTCCCTGCATCAACCAGATCTTCTTATGCTCATGCTTTTATATAAGCAGCTCTCTTCTCACTTGTTAGTGTGTATGTCTAGCATGTCAGGCCCTGTTGTGGAAGGCAGGCTGAGGCACAGCCCCTTGAGCACACAACCTGGTGCGAGCTATGGCTGGGAACGACTACGCTAAAAGTTAAAATGCATAACACTCGATATTTGCTTACACTTCTGTTTGAGTGTAGCCATCTTGCTATCATGCATTTTCTTCCCTGTGGGGAAGGCCTGAAGAAAGGTCTTTTTTTTATAGGACTTACCACAGTAGTAGAATCCAACACCGCAAAAATCCCGACTGACCTAAAATGTTACTACAATATCTCCATAACAAACACATACGGCGATGAACTCGTTGGAAGAGTCAGCCTGATATGATGTAATTAAAAACCTTTAACAAATCAAACTAATTGTACTTTGAGCACTTAACTTTCACAAGGTACCGTATTTTGGAAAGCTACCACTCAGAAGTCATGTATTTAACATTAAAATATAACAATAAATACAGCAAAAGGACGACCTACAACACAACAAGATATTGCTACTACATGTTACTGATGTAGCAAGCTATGCATTGAAATATTATCATACAGATCATATACTTCCTATTGAGCACTGCAGTATTCAAGGAGCTGCACACATTTTAGGAAGTCTTAGTCATGAGTAGAAAAAGGTTTTCCTACATAAGGGCTTTATCTGGCTGCTTCCTGAGCAACAGATTTTTCTCAACCCCCACTTGCTGAAGTTATTAATAAACTAATAGGAAGCCCTTGGAAGGTGAGAAACTTCTTGAGTTTTCCTATTACTTTTCAAACAACAAATGGCTTACAAAGAGCAGAACAAAAAGACTTGCCCTCACCTGGCACAATGGCTGTAGCAGCATTAACAGAAGCCAAGGCATGAAGCCTCTCTCACCTGAGTTAAGATACCAGTTGCTCACCAAATCAGGCTGTTTTGCAACAGAAAAAAAAACTGGAAAAAACTGGAATAGATTTCAGTAACCTAGGGTTTTATAAATCCCCTTCTTCAGGAGACGAGAAGTTTAAAAAGGGAGCTTGAAAAACCAATAAGTAACCTAAAAAAGGCAGGTTTCCAAAAACTGATAAACAAAACTATGCATTTCAAAGGAAGAAAGTCAGAATTTGTCATGAGAATTGAAAATTTTTCTTGGGAAAACAATCAGTTTTTAAATGCTCCTGTTGAAAGAAGTTGATCGATTTTATCCCTTCCCTACTTTTATGTTTCACAATAGGGGGAAATTGTAAACAAACAAAAACTAAAAAATAATGTAATAAAACCCAAATGAAACAAGCTATACAAGGAGTTAAAAATTACAACAGCTCATTACCTTCTGAAGTAAGCTTTTCCTGAAAAGATGGCATAAATTGGAAACTACAGATAATACACGATGCCTGTACAATTCATGCAGACACCTCCAACTGCCTTACTTAAGCAATTTGCCTGAGATATTCATATAAATTTATAGACTCTTATGTATCAACAACTACACTGATCTTTGCTTTTTTGACACCTTGCAAACCAAGAGGCAGATTTGGATGAAAAATGTCAAGAGAAAAGACAAAAGAATGCGAGTCTGGTGAAAGTCACAAGCAACAGGCAGACTGAGCCATTAACAGGCACTTGGCACATTGGTTCAAAAGACCATGGATATTGGGGCCCTGCTACACATTCAAATTAAAGCCAGATAGAAACCAGCCATAGAGTTGTTACACATTTCCAAGCAACAGACCTTGCCTCTTTTTATAGTTGGAGAGTCATTTTATTGTGTGATAATTACTGTGCATGTGTGGCTGGTCTAAGTTTATTGCGTAATTAGTTGTCACATGATTAACTGAGCAATAAAACATAGAGCAACCACATGTGCAAAGTAATTATCACATGATTAACTGCTTGCAGTGCACCTGTGGCCGGTCTAAATTTAATGCACAATTACTGAGTTAATTGTGCAAAATATGTAATGTGCAGAGGCATTAAGAGACACATGGCCTCATCAGAGTAACGGGGTTAACCCTGAATGGCCTGACTAGAGTCTAATTTTGGCAGCTGGTAGCACTTCCTATCCTAAGTTGCTGTGTAGCATTAACATTATATTCCAAAGGAAGCTGCATTTCAGTGACAAGCAAAGGTCTTACTTACAAAGAGCAGCTCCTCAGAGTTATAAAATATAGTATCAGCAAAAATAAATTACTTTTAAAGTACCATGCTGCTTAATGAACAAGGTAAAGATTTCCCATCTCATACAAAATTTCCAGTATTTCAGTTGTGTAACAGAAGACAGACTTTTCCATTTATTTATCAAATTTTAAATTGCAGCACTAACATTTTAATATTTAATTATAACAGAGGGAAAAAAAAAATCACTAGAACTCTTCCATTAACTGTTACAAAATGTGATAAATATTTTTCATTTTAGCTGGCATAGGAAATAAATGTGTGTGCAAAAACAATATCCGATTTAAAAAATGTTGTGCACAAATGTCTTTCCCCCACTTCCTCCACAAGCAGCATTATGTGCCAGGTTTGATAGCTATTCCAAAAAGCTGCAAAAGTTCAACTGATTTATGTTGTGATAAAGCCTCAAATTTCTAGTGAAATGGTTTATTTGTTCCGAAACTACTTCCAAGAAGTTTGGCATCAGGAACATTCTGCTATGGCAGACTACCTCCTGTGATACCACATTTCTGGGATGTACACTATGTTCCCAGGATATTTACTTTGTCACACAAGGTTAGGTCCCCCTAGACCCTTTCAAGGGACAGCAGCAAGACTGTTAGTTCTTTAAATTAACAGGAGGGAATATAAACTACCTAGTCTCTATTTTGAACACCATATTTTCAGATACTTACATTTTATCACATACAACATTGTTTCACAGGTATTTAACTCCTAATATCCATGGAATTAGGACAGATTATAAAAGGGTGTTTAATTGGGAACCTGATTTGCACATTTCATCTAATATTTACCAATTGATAAGATTTAAAAATTAAGCCTTAAATTCTCTATCTGCTGTGGCATTAGTCTACAACTGAATTTTAACACCACAAATTGACCATTTTAAAGATATGCAGGCCACAGTAAGAATTTTATATACTTAAGTCCCCCTGTAGGGAGTCCTGGTTCTATAAATTTTTACAGATATATGATTGACTAAGTAAGGTGCTCAAAGTAGGAGATTTTAATGACTTAACATTTTGATCAAAAGTAATCTCAGCCAGATTAATTAAACAAGCAATACAAAATACAAATCTGAGATGAGATGAAATACAGAATACAGATGAAAGGGATGACTGAGAAGGCACTTTGACAATTACTAAGCGACAATAAAGATAAAACACAGTCCACTGTATAGTTTAACAATGTAAACACTGGCACTGCATTAAAAAAAGCAGTGTAGGCATATTAATATAGCTCAAAATGTATCAGTAAACAAGTGTACATTACCTTCCGGATGCACATGTCAGCTATTATAGACAGAGGTATTGTAAGGCTTAGCGCAAGGGTGCCTATCAGTGATGAGGTAAGAAAGCAGCCCCTAAAAATATGAAACATGAAATCTTATTTAAAAGATTTATAGAAAAAGAACAACAAAAGTAATACAGTAAAGAATAACAGAAATTTAAATCAAGGCTTAACTATTGGTTAATGTTTGCTTTAACCATTTCATTTACCCTGTACATATAATTTCTGATTTTAAGGTGAGGGAGAATTAACCACTTCCCTAAGGAAAGTGACTATCCTTTAAAACAGTTCTTTATTTCTGTTTTGAGTGTGTCCATCTGGGTGGCCTTCATGTGTTAGTTTAAAAAGCTATCCACTTACCAAAGATTTTCTCCCACACATAGATACTTCCAGATCACGATCAGCTCACCTTCTTCAAATAAACCACGATTCTTTAGTCTTGTTCAAAAATAGTTTTGCAGAGCTTCAAATCATTCTCTGAATCCTTTCTGAAGTGTCAACACCAACATTTTTCTAGTAATAGTGTCACACCAATGCCCCGCACAGGTAATACAATCTTCCTGTTCTACGCTCTCGTTTACATAGGGCAGTGGTTCTCGACCAGGATGCCGTAAGACTCCCCCAGGGGTGTCATAATGCAGGCACCCCTGTGTTGGCTAGATAAAAGTGCCCCACACACAGGGCTGTGGCGTGCTGCGCTCCTCCTGCATTATAGTTTTATGATATTCTTAAGGCAGTCAAGAGCTGGCTCATGGTTCAGCCCTTCTCAGTCCAGCATGCCCTCCATTCCTTCCCCGAAAACACTGCTCCCAGAAACAAAAGCAGACAGGACAGTTCCATGCCCCAATTTCCATGAGATGCTGTGCAAGGTTTGACCATGAAGGGGTGCAGCACAAGACAGCTTTCCTGCCTGCTCTAAGATGATCAGAGGACCCTAATGAGCAGGGATCCTGGTTTCCCCTTTACCAGACAAAAATGTGGATTTCCCCCTTTACTGGACAAAGATGCGGGAAATAGCAGGTTCCCCTTGCAGGCTGGTAAAGCTCCAGCCTGTAAGGGGCTACTTCGGGTTGGGGGGAGTGGGATGTAGCGTTTCATTTCCCTGGCGGGGAACGGGACAGGGGGCACCATGGGCATATGGATACACACATGGCAGCCAGGCAGGGTGGTAGGAAGCAGCTTCTGCCACTCCCTCCAGGTAAGTTTATGGGGTGAAGAAGGTCACAGGTGATGTGTGGGGAAGCAGGGGGGCACGTGCCCCCTGAGATTTTGGTGCCCATAGTGGGGTGCTGGGCTGAAGCCAGGCCAGACCAGCTCCAGAAAGGAGCTGCCTCTGCAGCCTAGCAGGCAGGACCCAGCACAGGAAGGAGTGCTGTGCCACCACGGCCACCAAGGTGACGCATGGCGGCAGTGACACAGAGTTGTGCGCAGGGAGGGGTAGGGGCAGGGCACCGGCATTTCAGAGCTGCTCACCACCACAAAGCAGCAGGGGAGACAGCTGCAGCTGAACCAGTATCCTGGTGAGTGAAGGGGGCGGGGCGAACTCTGATTTTCCATGATAAAAATATCACCTAAAATCAAGTGCCAGAATAGACAGGCATTTAGAATTTATTTTAGTATAACGACTGAGGCACTGGTAGGCTTCCAAATTGCTTTAAAAATTGTAAATATCTCCATAAAACATTGTGTTCAACTGGTAGCTAGATACACACACACACATTTCATTTTGATCATGGAAAATGTGGATTTCAATTTGGGATTTTTAATCAGAGAATTAGCATTTTTTAAACAGAGAAAACCAATACCCCTGCTAATGAGGCTGGAGAGCCATGCCATGGCCCTTCCCGGTCTGGCTGTGCCCAAGGCACACAGGACAGTTTTACCTGGCGGCAGCATCACCCACTTGAGACCCACTGAGAAGCCAGGGCAGCACAACGGTGGTTCTCTACTGCAGTGGTCTCTAAAGTGGGGTGCACGCATCCCAGGGGGTGTGCAAGACAATCCACTGGGGTGTGGGAAGAAAATATTAGAACTTCTATTTATATTTATATAAATATACATATATTGGGGGTGCATGCTCAAAAAATTTTTTTACTGATAGGGGTGCGCCATCAAAAAACTTTGGAGACCACTGCTCTATTGGGTTCTGCCACATTCAAAAAAAGTTGTGGAGAGGTGCCCTAATCTAAAAAGGTTGAAAACCACTGACATATCCAAAGCCATTGGCCTTCTTAAATGTGTGAATCACAAAGGAATCTCAATTTCAGCAGGTTATTCAATTTACTGAGTAATAAACGATATATCAGTCTCTTTATAAATAGCAAAAGAGCCCAGGCTCCTTCTTTAAAACTCCTTTGCAGAACAAATTTAATTTAAAAATGATTAAGCTACTGAGTAGTTTAAGAGGAAAAAATAAAACCACCACGAACTCAATACCATGCACCTCACTATTTTCATGGAACTTTTACTCTGAAGAATTACTGAGCATGCGAAATATTCTTTAGTTCTACAGGTTATTGAGTGCAAAAAGGGATGCAGGGTCAGACATGTCTAGTTTTAACCATTTTCGTATTGTTAAAGGCACTTTCAACACAAAAGGCTGTAAGTTAGACTCTGTGATCCATCAAATCAATGGTCCCAAACACAAAATAAAGCTCAACAACAGATAATGCCTTCATAAGAACTGTTCTGGCCTGACACAAAGAATCAGTGATTCAATAACTTTGAAAATGCTTGCTTACTCACTTCAGTCAATACTGTTCACTGAACTAATTACCTATTCTCTAGTCTCTAATGGCAGCAGAAGCATCTGAACTACCACATAAATCTGTAATTTGGATGCTTTAAGGGAGATCTGCAGAAATGGAAAACCTGTACCCTTTGGTTTCATTATCACTGTCAAACAACAAGAGACCAGCCATACTGTTCTTTAGTTCCCAAAAAAGCCATGCCAAGTACCAAATATAAAACAGGATACTGAGCTTCAATTGAAAAATATCATATTTTTTTTCCTTTAAATTTTGTCTACCTATTTTCTCCTGTGCAAATGTATGGATGGCTTGGAAAGTCCGTGTAACATCACACAAAATGTGTGTGAAACTGGATTAATTGAAGGGGAAGTTATTTTATTCAATAATAAAAACGTTCAATTTCTTAACACTACTTAGACTCAAATATCTGAACAAACATTTAGAAATGCTTTGTAAGTCAAGATTTCAAGCGTGAGCCAATTTAATTCGTGAGCCTCTTCAATTAAAGTATGAGAGAACTCCCAATTCAAGCCACTGGATCCTCCTGAGTGACTACCACAAAACAAAGGAAAACCAGACTGGCCATTTATAATATTTGTAAGATTAAGAAAAAAGCAAGAAGCAAAAGTAAGGATGAGGAAAGTTTTGCTGGCTGCTGAAAAAAGTTGTGTGAAAGAAGGAAAGAAATTAAGTGAAAGTGTAGAATAAAAAACAGAAGCAGCAAAGCTGCTGGTGTGGTAGTAAAGGGTGTCTACGCAGCAAAACAAGACTGTTGGAGAAATTATAGAGTAAAACTGGGAACAAGAGGAGACTTTTCCTTGATTGGATTTGCACCAAATCACTAACGTCATGCAGTAGTTAAGGTGTCAACATTTAAATGCCTTGTCTTTTAAAAAGGGGCTAAAAATCAAGGTAGTGTTACATTGGTAATTTGATCATTCTTCCCTGCTCCTCCCAATTTAGCAATTCTACTCTGCATTTCAGCAATGATTTCATACATAACTATAGTGAGGTATAGGTGGTGTTAATACTGCAAAGCATCTCTCAAATTAGTTTTTTTTTTTTAAAGTAACCAAAACAGAGAGAAATGACGTTCCGCGATTCATTTGTACTCCAGAGCTGAGATTTTCTGAGGAAACAGAGTCTGTCCTTGTAGCTTGCTCCTAATACCCTCCCTGGACTCTTGTAGGGCTACTTCAGGGCCAAGGATTTCAGAATGTCAGGGTGTTGGGACTCCAGGCAACTGCTGAGTGAAACTCATATTCTTAGCTGTAACAGCAACAGTGAAACAGCTGAGCAGCAGTAGAGCCTGTGACACATGACATTTGGAGATACCATACTTGTGCTGGAATTTCTATTTTGTGGGAAGTTACAAAAACAAATTTCATTTTGGTCCAATCTGGACCGAAACCAAATGAAAAGAAAAAGCTTGCATACCAAAAAACCCTGCTCTGGAGTCCAGTATGTGTAATCCTGTCACCCTTGGGTGCAGTGGTTCTCAACATTTTTAGATTTGAAGCACCCCTGGATGTACACTGAAGATACCCCTCAGAAAATGACAGCTCTCAGTTTTCACTTTTTGTTTTTTGCTTTCAGAAAGATGATACAGCAGTTTTTCCATTGCAAAGGACTCAAAAGCCCACAGGTATGGATTTCTATTTGAAATCTCTGGGTTTCGTCTTGTGACTTGTGTTTGCATACCTAACAGTGCTAACATTGTGTGGCACTTCACAGCACCTTTGAAAGGACCTCAAGGTACTCTATGGTTGCATGGCATCCTGGATGAGAATCACTGCTCTAGTGGATAGTCTACATCAGGGGTTGTTAACTGGGGGTACACATACTCCTGGGGGTACTTGAGAAGACTCTAGGGGGTATGCGCGGGTGGGCAGGGACACAGCTCTGCCATGAACCATCCTGCGCTGCTGTGCAAGTGCTGCCCAGCTGGCTGGACGTGGGGAGCAGGGGAAGCTCACCCGCGGCACTTGTGCACTACCTCCTCTCCGCCCCACTCCACATCCGGGCACCGGGGGTACACTGATCCAAAAAGGTTGAAAACCTCTGGTCTACATTAAGGTTTTGCAAGTCTGCTACAGCTTTTGTGCAGCAGACCAAAAAAATCTGCATTTCAATTCTTGCTGCTGCCGCTGACCTATATAGTGGCATCATCGTATTATACATTATACTTTTGTTTAATGACTTACTATTTTGCAGGGTACCTCCTGGAAATTAATGCACACTAATGAGATTCTAGGGAACTTGTTTTTTCAAAGATTTAATTTACTTAAACTTTTCAGGTAACGAAATACTTCACTAGGTAGTATTCTTGCACTGCCTACATGATGCAAGAGATTGGAATTTGAAGAACTGCTATAATATAAAATTCATACAATTAAGAAAATGAATGCTTGCTCATTTAAAGTTGAGTCTGTATGACAATCACTACAGTAGTACAACACTACCTGAAGTGCTTAAGTTTTTTCACCTCATAACATTTTTATATTGTTTGCGTTTAATCTTCTCAGCTCTTTTTCACAGTGCTTCTTTCTACAAACCCACATCATTTTCTCCTTAAAAGTTATGTGGGCATTTCTCTTAAACAGCATAGTGCAATGCATCGAATGACTTTCCCTAACTCACTGCCTTAGTAGATCATTAGAAAGCAAAAAATAAAGCCTAATCATTTTAATATCTCAACAGATCACAGTTAAATGGGCACTAGTACAATTTGCATGCAGTAAATAGTACATACCACAACCAGAGGAACTCTGACAGAACTGTTCCAATAAGGCCATTAATGACAATGCACATCCATACTAGTTTACTGGGAAACTCAAAGGCCTCAAATCCAGTATAATGAAGTAAGAA